GATCCTAATTCCCTTCTAACCTTTTCTAAGCTTGTCAGTATTTCACCATATTTAGCTCGTCATGTTACCAAAATTACCTAGGTTCATTTTTTTTTCTGTCCACAGAAAAGACACGCTAATCAAAACAGGAGTGAGAGAAATAGTTTTCCACCTTAACAAGTAAGGAGTATTTTGTCTTTCAACTTGCTTCTAGGCCTTAAAATGAATCCGACTGATTTCAGATCTGAGTTTGTGTATGCTCTGGGATGTCATTGCTACCTCTGATGTGGATTGTGTTCTTAAAGATCATCTGTAAGCAAGAGAGGGAGTATGTAGTTCCTGGGATCCTGTATTTTAGGTCTTTGGTCTTTATGAATAACTGCCCTCAGTAGCCTGGGGCTTGCTTATTAGTATTCTATTGTCTTCCATATTTATTTCATGCATCTGTAAGTGAGAAATGCAAACACCAGTACTGTTCATTTCTTGAGTAACAGTTTCCAAGGCTTGCGGATGTTCTCTTTCCATGGAGGCTCATGACTAGGCTCTGGAAGGCTGCCATGGAAGGCTCTGGTCTCCAGCAGAGCCAAACTGAGTGAGCTTCAGGGTAGAATATACCGAGAATGACAATCTAAGAATAAAGATGTCTTTATAAAACCAGATTTTCAACCATTTTAAGTTGGCATAGATGCATTAACCTCAAGCAAGCAGTGCCTATTTACAGCGTTCTGTTGTTCTTATGTGGTACCTGACACAACAGTATTTTGTTCTGTTTAGAATAGGAAAGAGCAGATTCTCACGGCGTGTATTTTTCTCCCTGCTATTCTCCCATCCTAATGCAGAGATTTTCAGTGTTGTGGTCTTAATTCCTGCATTGGAGCTCTGTAAGACTCCCTACCATTGTGAGTGGGGTATTGAGACCGACCCATCCTAGCTCTCCATTTTATTGTTAATTCTACTGTACTCCGGATACCAAAAGAAAACAAAGCAACTTGTTGTTTTGCTTTGAGCTCCTACTAGCTCAATCTGGACAATGGTTTCCTCTGAGACTATCTACTTGTTTTGCATAGGGACCATTATGGTTTCATTTTCAAACTTTTTGTTAAGGATACATAATCCTGGCTTGAGGGGCACCTTCTAGCCCAAGCCTACTTCCCTTAGCTTGGAGGGTCTTCTGTGTTAAACTCCCCAGCAGTTTGTCCCTCCCCTCAATGTGTTTCAGATTCACC